AGCATTATGACCATATTGAAGGCAAAAAATACATCAATGCTCCTTGGTGTCTCAGCTAGTTACAGTAGTAATCGGATTATAAACCTACCAATCTACCATACATGCACATTTCAAATTATGTTTTGCCATAAATAATATTGTGTTAATCCTTTTTCCTTCCTTTTTCAGGGAATATTTGTAACTCCTCTTTTGTTATTATTATTTGTAAGTATACTCATATTATTACTTTATTAATATTCTTGTTATTACTTTGTATACTTTTTTTTTGCATAGAAATGTTGTAGATTTACTTGTACAATGAGGAAATAATTTTGAAATTTATTTCCAACATGGTTTTACACAAATTCAGTCGAATGACTTTAACGACCTTGATTGATGTACAATAGTGTACTCAGCGGGTACCAAGAACATTGGCTTTGTTTTGAGAATCAGTAATTTTTACTTCACAACCAACTGATCATCTTTGTTTTGTTTACTACGTATCGCAACATCTATCGATATAACATATGTGTTTTTTGGTTTTTTTTATTAGTTTTCATAGTAAGTGGCAACCGATTTAAGGATTTTTATAGCAACACAATTGTAAATTAGCAGAAACTATGTTTCAATCTCTGTGTTCAATTTTTTTTTATTTATTTATTTTTTTTAAATATTTTTTTTTAAATATCTTAGTATTAAATCAGGCCTGATTTTACCATCAATAGAGATGATAGTTTGAACTTATTTATTTGTTGAAATGAAATATAATTATTGGCTTTTCCCACTATCCAGCTTTGTTCTAATTATATTTCTTCTATCTTTTGTTGTGGGTTTCCCTTCAAAGCACTTTGCTACCTTTACATATTTGAATTTTTCTTCAAGCAAAGCCCATAATAGCAAAGAGTAATGGTAATGGTTTGGGACTTGCTATATGGTCTCTATGCGCTATAAGTTACACAAAAGAAACAACCAAAAACTAAATCCTAAAGTCTAACCAAGCGACCTAAAAATAAAAAAACATAAGAAACAGACTATTGAAGAGGTTCCTGACGTAATCCTAATTAATTCATAATATTAACTGGTAATTAAACTATTAATGCAAATTAATTTAATTTGAATTTTGTTATTATATTTTTAAAATTAGGTTTTAACGCATATATTTTAAGTGAAATTTCATAAACAATTTTTTTTTTAAACCATATTTATCGAGGGTGACCTTTGCAGCCTATCCTTGAAAGTCTGCTGATATTCAGGGGCCCTCTTAAATATATGAAATAAAGTGATACTTTTCCCAGGGAAATCTGCTTATGTGGCTTAGCAGTTGTTTGATAACAAAAATGTCCTGCTGTTACAGGAATTAAACCAAAATATTTGGGGGCTTCCTTAAATAAAGGAAATTATATGATGCTTTTATCCGCAAAGTCTTTTTATGAGGTTCAGGGAGTAGAGTAGGTTTTTGTCGTGGGAAGTAGTACTGCGACAGGAATTAACCCCGGGACCTGGGGATTAAAATACAAGCATCGTAATCCCTCCATCCAGTTTTGTATAAATATGTTATGGTTTTTTCATATTCTTCAATAAACTTCTACGAAACAGGTGGAAAAGGGTGATTAGAGCAGTTCTGTTTGATGCATACAATGTTTTAATCTTAATTTAATATTATTTTTGATAGCTACATGCTTTTAAACAACAAATGCTCTTTACATTTTGTTTCTTCAGGAAAATAAAATTTAAAACCATTCCTTTTCCTGCTGGTTTTCTTACAATTGTAAAAAATTAGGTCACACTAATAGGTCACAAGACTTTTATTCTACTGAAGTGTGTTTCATGAATCAGCACCCTATCGATAATGACTATGTCAGATATAAATGGAAATTTAATTACTAGTCTGTCTAGCATGTCTTAAAAATTGGACCTTTTTTCCTTTATTTTATCTTGGCCCCCTTCCCCCACTCCCTTCTCTAGGAAATCTCACAATAAAATCTAAGGGCAGCCTCAATTTTTTTTTATAAATCACACACTTGTGTTTATTTGTTGACAAAATGTTTTTACTTTTTTTTTACACTCTGATTAACTCTCAAAAATAAAGCTTTAAAAAACTAGTTATCAAAAACTAGTATGAAAAACTTACTTTAAACATTCTTTTTTTTAAAATAATATACTGTACCATATTTATAGAGAGTGACCCTTCCTGGTGAGGTAACATTGAAGGCCCTAATAAATAATTGAAAATAATATGATGAACTTGGTAAACTAAGTCTCAATGCGAGGCGTAGGGATTGGAAATGTTTTGTGCGATCAAAAATATTGTGCGATCAAAAATATTGTGCTATCACAGGATTTGAACCCAGGACCCCTAGATTTGAAGGCAAGCACCGTAACCATTAAGCTACATCATTAATGAAATATTTTATATATTCATTTGGTCATTTCTAAGTATTCAAGCAAGGACATTTATGATTATGTCATCTCTAGATAGTAGAAAATGGCACTCTCAAACTAAACTTTGAATATAATTTTATTTTTATTTCCTTTTTTTTTAATAATGATAAATTTAGGGGAGGGGGAGGGTAGTGCCCCTTCTTGAATCAACTACTACAAGCTCTACTTCTGCTGATTTACAGAATTAGAACTTCAAAAATCCTTAAATTATCAGCCAGTATAGAGTGCTATGCAAAAAATGTAGTCAACAGTATAATTTATATGTCTGTTAAATTTACGAGAATATTTTCTTGCTCTGATTTTAATTTAAAAGGTAAAAAAAGTTACTTAAGTGAGCAAATCAAGTGTTTAATTTAGATTTTTAAGTTTTCTTCAAGTTAACGCAGACAATAAATGATTAAGTTGCTGTAAGTGTTACACATGAGTGGAAATAGTAAAGTATGTGGATAATACCAAGTTGCTCAAGGACCAGATAGCTAATTACTTCTGTAGGGGAAAAAATGCTGTGCGTGAATGATTCTACCGGAGAAAATCGCTTGATACTCATAAATTTTAAAATACTCAGAGTTACGTAAAGGTGATAAGAATAAGATGCTCCTTGAGTTTGTAAGCCTATTAATATCTTCATTATAAATTGATAAGACATTAATCATTTAGATGTTGAGAGGGACTTCACCGTTTGTCAGACTCGGAAACAAATTACTCGAAAAACTGTCTAGCGTAGGTACCATTGACATGAGCGTCACGTGCGTTCTCGTCATCGGCCACAAAATTTATGTACGTGGTTGGAATTTTGGAAGCGCACCTTCACAGAGGCCCAATAAAAATTGATCAATGTTGATTGATTTGGAAAAACGATGAGTACTTTGTCACGGTGTACGGACTATGTTGCTCGAAATTTCTCGCAATCATTACATTCTGCGTAAGCATGGCATTTTTATGGCGTTAACGGGAGATGTGACATCCTCAAATTGCCGTATCTGATGAGCCTAGGAAACGATTCATTCTGCCTTTCTTTTCGGTTGAGAAATCGTTGTGTAGAAATTCACGAAGATGTGCTTGTTAGATATGGAATAAATTGGTGCTAATTTTTTTTAGAAAGTGCACAAAACAAATCTTAAGGGTTTTATTAACTTATTGTTTACTTATTATATACTTGTTATATTATTTACAGCTTGGTTCTTCGTCCACTGTTCCATATACTTCCGTGTTTACAACTCTCACATTGACCGTCGTTGTTCCTCTAATTATTGGTCAGGTTAGTTTCATTCATCGTTTTCTGATTGGTCAGTTTTACTATATCAATAAACAATAATATCTTTGCTGCTCTACTTAAGTAATTATAATACATAATTAAATATTAGCAAAAATAAATTAATAAATAATTGTAAAAATTATTCAAATAATTGTAATAAATAAATAAATTAATAATTTTAACAAGTAATTAAGAAATAACAAATTATGGACATATACGGTAAATCCATTCTAGATAACTGGTTTTTCAGTTTTATATAATAATTAGCAATTAAATAGCTATGCAACTCAGCATAAAGAATTATAACACATAATTAAATGAACATTTATTTTTAAAAATAATTGTAAAAATTAATTTCATAAAAAATTGCAATAAATAGTTAAATAAGTATTTGTAACAATTAAATTTAATAAATTTAAACTTATGAATTTTATGACAATGACAAACATTATTAAAATAAGTTACAATTGTAAATTCCTCTCTAGATAACTCACCGTTGTAGAATACAATTGTTAATTTCTCTCTAGATAACTCGCCGTTATGTCAAAGAGTGGTTAGAGCGAACCAAGCCTCCATTTGGCCAGGTAGGGCAGGCAGTGCTACTTCTCATCATCTACACAACATTCTGTGATACGTTTTCAAATCCTGCCCTTGAGATGGATAGGTACAGTTTACTGGCAGTAGCTATAATTGGTATGTTACAGTACTCTGCTGAAAACATTCCTATTATCATAATCATTATCATCATCACCTTTCTCATTGTTATCATTGAGCCTAAATAGGAAGATAAGTACATTTATCATTAGGGTCATTCCGGCTCAAATCAGCCAGAAATTTTAAAGTTCCCATGTTCTCTTGGATTTTCCTTTTTAATCAAAAATCTAAAAATACTTTGATACAGTATGTCAAACGATAGAATCCAGAATTTCAGGTGCAATTTCCAAGCGGTTTTTAAGTTATGAACTTTTGAAATTTAGGTACCATGCCCCCTTTTCTATTATGGAAATGGCTTCTTTAACTTTGTACGGTTCTTATGAAGCTATATCTCTGGAAATAATGAATATAAAAAGTTGCAAATTGCTACATAGACTAAAATTTGGCCCCTCTTTCAAGAAATGCCATTCACAGTTGGTTAGCATATTTTATTAGAATGTTATATGCCCCCCAAAATCCCCCGAAGCATTGTGCGAAAATAGATTTTCGCCTTTTTGGTGGGCCCTATCTTATTCTATTAAGTAAGGAAGAGTCACATGGGCATGGTGGTTGATTTGAGCCGGAATGATCAGTATCATTTTTATCATCATCATTATCATCATCTATTTCATTGTCATCATTCATATTATGACATTATTACTATTGTATTGTCATTATCGTAATCATCATCATAATCACTGTTGTCACCGTAATCATCATTAGTATCCGCCTTCTTTATCACCATCATTACCATCATCCGGTGGTGGTGCCCGTGGGGATGGGGGGGGGGTTTGCCCTCCCTGTCAGGCAGGCCTGGACCATTTGTTATCTTACTGTATGACAAAATTGTCAGACCAAAAATTAAAAAGTAATAGTTTGCCTATATCCAAATAACATTATTTTGATTGCCAATCCTTAATATTGGAATCTAAAAGCACAATTTGGACCATAATAAGCTATAAAAACTCTTTCTGTGAACCCTTTATTCCGGAACCTCTACTGAGGCTCTAGTCAGCTTCTTGGTTTGGACCCCACCCCCCTTTCAGACATGTTGGACCCCTTGTTGACAAATTTATGGAGCCACTGCTGTCATCATCCATCCCCCATCATTGTTTTATCATCCTTATCATAATCATCCTTTCATCATAACCATCATTATCTTTATCATCCTTATCATCATCATTCTTGTCATATCATCATACTTATCATCATCATCATCTGCATCCTTATAATCATCTTCATTGTCATATGTATCATCATGCCTTGCCATGGAACTAATTCAAATTTCTTTGCTGTTCTTCAGTATTTTCTCTTCAAGTACTCCTGCTAAGCCTTACGTTCTTTGTATCAAAGCATCCTAGGCTTGGCTTTGCTGCCGCTGATACCGTCACCATCATGTATTGTGCAACACACAAGTCATTGACTTTAGGTAAGGTTGAAGCTACTAAAAGGAATATGTAGGGAGCTATCTGTGACTTGTTGACTTTCGATAAAGATGATATTGAAAAATTATTATAAGCTAATTCGTAGTATTGCCTGTATCAAGTTCAATCAACAAAGCAAGCATACACACATGGGGTTATGTCGCTTGACCTCAATTAGGGTCAATTGAGGTCAATCAACATAGGTTTATGCCGATTGACCATGGACATGGAATCTGCAGTTCAAACCATGAATTGGCTTTTTTTATGATTCAGATAATGACAATGGTGACAAATAAGAACATGGAGAAGCACCAGCAGAGGGGAGAGGGAAAAGGACCCAGAGGGAATGTTTTTTTCCCCCTCTCATTGGACAAGCACAGACCCACGAGTTGTCCAATGCCACAAAGCTGTTGGACGAAAAATTTGCTGATACAAAAAAAGTTGTAATGATTGCCACTCCCTAATATTGTGATCTAAAAACCACAATTTTGGGAATTCCTGAAGCATAAAATCTCTCCCCATGAATTCTACCAGGGATTTTGTTTCCGAGACCCTGACTGAGGCTCTAATTTGCACCTTGGTTCTGACCCTACTGGTAGACCCCTGTCAGTAAATTTAAGTTTCAAAAACAGGAAAACATTTTATATAAATTTTTATAATTATAATTGAAAAATAAATCTGTATTAAGCTATGTCTACACTATCAAATTTCATCAAAAATGCGTCGCAAAAAAATTTGATATAGCAAAATACATCAAACTGGCTAAAAAAATGTGATGTATTTTGATGAAACTGAGTTCTCAAATCTGATTGGTTGGTGTGATTTGTAGTGTTTGCTTATTGGTCAAAATGTGTTTTCTATAAGAAATTGACAACTTTTTGACAGACAACATCGAAAAAAAGTTGAACATGTTCAACTTTTTTTGATACAATTTGAAATTAAGTGATTATGACATCATCATACATATATATGGGCACATCACATTTTTTTTGGTCACATAAAATTTTACAGTGTAGACAGAGTTGCCACTACTGATTATTGTTGAAAATAATAAAAGTATATATGCATTTGTTTTCTTTGATGTAGGTATACCAATGTTGAAGATCATTTATGCTGGCTACGACTACCTCTCATTGATTTCCATTCCACTGCTCGTTTACCACCCAACTCAGATTTTACTTGGTGGCTTCCTGGTTAATTCAATCAAGCATTGGATGACGACGGCGAACAAATTAAGGTTGGAATACTGATCAAGCAAAATTTAGTATTTTTTTGTGTTTTATTCAATTTAAAATAAAATTTACTTCATTTTTTAAAAATCTAGGCCCGAAATCAGGGTTTTTTTGTGAACTAGTCAAACCTCCCTGTTCGAGCACACCACCTCCGATAAACCGAGCCAGCCCAAACCTTGCATCAAATATCATTTTAATTTATATTCATCATCTACCTGCTAAAATGCTGTAGTTGACAACAGAAGCTTTTCCCTGCTCCAAACATGGGTACCCCCTACCCACTAAAAATTTCCTGGTTTCGGGCTTGAAACCTATCATTTTGTATTTTTCAGTAATTGATTTTCCATGTAGTTTGTGACTTGTAATTTTTTTAGAAGTTCTTTTCACTTTGTGGTCTTTTACTCAATATGCTATAAAACATCTTTCAAAATTACAATGTTTTTCTTGGGTTTGAGGTTTATAGAAAATAAATATTGGTATAGACACTAAATTGCAATAATGATTAATTATTATTCATGTTATTCATTTAATTATTCATATTCATATTATTAATATTATTATTAAATATTAATTTTTTTTTGTTGCATTACGATTTATTATTTCAAAATTGTGATCCTTTCTTACCTGACTTAAACCTCATCCGCAACTCCACCCTTTTACTCTCAATTATTTCTGATAAGGCAAATACAACTTTATTACCAACATTTATTAAACTTAATATGATCTGTAGATGTTTTATGAATATTGGAGTGGTAGTTTTGTGTCTAATATTGTGCTTTTAGTTGCGTACGTAGGGGTGTTTGGTATTTAATGTTATCTCTTCTTTAAGGGACACTGCACCAGTGGTGTGAATGTTGCATAGCTGTGTTCTATCTTGAAATCTCACCCAAAACTATTCTGTAAGTAAATTTGGAAAAAAAAAAAAAAAAAAAAAAATTAACATAATTATTTGTTGCTGCGTGGCTGTAGGATTCATTAATATTCATTACTAATATCTTTTCATTTGTTGTTGGGAATTATAAACTATTTTTTTGTGCTAGTTTAAAAAAAGAGTGTATTGATTCTTTTGGGATTCGAACCATAGACCTTCCAAAAATTGTTCAGTTGCTCTCCCATCTGTGCTATTCTATACTCTTTTAAATTGCTGCATTAGAAACATCTTTATTCAAGATATTGTATAATAAGCAAATAATAAATTACATTGATTGCATTATACTTAATTATACTATAATTGTTTAAAGGAAAACGCTTGTCTTTTTTGTTTGTTAATCCTTGTTGAAATGTTTAAAAGTATATTAGGCCTACACTTAAATATTTAATTTAGATAATTTTAATACCAAGTGCCTTACAATAATTTTGATGGACTTTTTATTTATACTTGCTTTCATGCCATCTTTATCCATCCCTTATTCCAACCCATTTAGCTCTGTGGACACTTTTTATATTTGTGGCAAATACCTTTGGTCTGCTCATATATGGGTATGATATGTCTATATGTGGGGAAACGAAACAAACTTGATGATGTGCACACATGAAGTTATTAGCATTCAGATAAAAATTATATAAAATTTTTTCATTACACATCACTGTTTACAGTAGCGGATTTAATGGGGGGGGGGGCTAGCCGGCCCGAGCCCTCACCCCTAAATTTTTCAAAATTATATATCGAAAAAAAATATAATTATAATCAGATTTACGTGTGAGATTGCTATTTCCGGAAGTCTAGAAGTGCCATAATGATAAATGTTCTTCCCTCAGCCCCAACCATAGTGGGACTGAGGTATGTGGACCCTCTATGTGTGAAAATGTCTTCCTGGGCTCCCTCTATTTTAAATTCCTGAATTAGCTACTGGTTTACTGAAATACATTTTTGTGCACTATGGAAGTACAGATGATTGATTGATTGATTGGATTTTTGTATCCCTATATCCAGGCCTGGGGAATGAATTGTGCCTCTGACCACAAAAAAATATCCTTATGAAATGTCCCCAGCACAAAATGTCATTATTCGTACAAAATTAGCTACCCCATCAGTGGTTTGAAAATTTAAAATGCCACCGGGGGAATGGGCGAAGCCTGCGACTGCCAGTTTTGCAATCACACATTTTTTTCAACCCTGCTCATATCTTGCATAATTTGCGTTCTCTTCAGGAACGAGAAAGCCGACCTGGTTGCAGTGAAGTCAGAAGAAACAGAAGTATCACCAGATAAAATAGAAGCTCATTAACCAACACATTTGTGCCAAAGATCTGTTGACCAAAGTGTCCTTTAACAGTTAAAGCTTTTCCCACGCTGTCAACTTTTACATGACATTTAACTGTGATATGCCTCTATTTGGGTGTAATATTATGACATCATCATGTCACATTACACAAAGTTGTCACATGAAATATGATAGTGTGGACAGACCCTTACCATTGACAATATTATATATAATGATGCTGATTTAAACATAAGATGATGTTCATATTGATATATAAATAAATATTATTAGCATTACTAGTCTTAGCATACAGTTATTCATCTCATTTAAAAATTAAGTAATGAGAAATTATTTTTCTTGTACAAATATATTTTTCATACACCTGTGGCTTGTACTAAATTAAAAATATTTTTAGTAAAAATCTTGTAAATTATCGAAAACTTTATTGCTTTTCATTGGAAGATGATAAATTGTATTTTTTTTTTTTGGATGAACAATTGTAAAAATCTGGTGGCAAAACGAATTGGCTCTTGGGTTCCAAATAGTCCTTTGGAAACCAAGTGTGTCAATCAAACTTTACTATTACTGACCAATTAGAATCACCTCCAGGAATATGCTCACGTCTCACAAACACACATGTTGTCCCACAAATGCACATGTTTGCGTATGTTTTAACACTGTCATTTTTTGGGACCTTAGCAACAATATCCAAGGGGCGGGGCTTAGTGGAATGTTCCATTGAGAGGATGGGGGTTATGAGTCTGAGACTGTGGTTACCTGTTTGTGCCTTGCTGCAGTGCTTCTCTCCACTCCATTGCTTTATCTAGACCTTTCCGCCAAGGACTTTTAACTGAGCAGTTAAAAGTCCTTGTTTCCGCTTCAGGCCTCCCCCTTGAATATTATTGTTAAGGTCCCACAAGATGACATTGTTTCTAGGACAACACCTGTGTTTGTGGGACTGTTATGATTGGTCAGTTATTAAATTGGAATGACACTTAGAGAAAGGTCCATTTGTACCTGGTTGGGGTTGTAATGCTACACTGAATATGGCTGGCAACAGAGAACCAGCGTTCATAAGCATGTTGACTTAATGACCAATAGTAATACTGTACTGCGTACTTAGGAATCTGCATTTTAGAAATACCGTAAAACCTTGAATTGAAGCCCTGGGCTTCTTTTGTTTTTTTGTGAACTTTGGATGGGCTTCTTTTTGGGGCTACTTTTCTAAGGTAAAGAGGGGGGCTTTAATTCGAGATGAGCTTCTTCTCTAGATTAAGCCCATTGGGTTTCTATTCAAGGTTTTACGGTATGTAAGTTATTATTATAATTCAGTTTTATTTAATTTTGTATGATTATTCCAGAATTTATGACATAGGAATCATTTACTACAGAAAATGCTTTATTTATTTTCAAAGTTTAATAGCTGTTTATGTCCTTTAAAATTACTTTCTTTTAATTTTTTTTCTCAATATATAAAATAGGTTGTTTGACATAATATTTAAAGAAATTAATTTTTTTTTTCAATATTTAAAATACATCTTTTTTGACATTAATTAAGGATATTTTATGTAGTACTAGGGCAGAGTATGACAACAGCACATTAGTGCAACAAAAATATTGAACATGAATGACATGAATATGTAACAAAGCGACGAGTCACAAAACATAGAATGATTTACTATTTCCAGTTGTACGACAGACTTGGTTTGTTCTGAGCTGAAAATTCAAACAACAGTACAAAATGCAAATGTTATGTGTGTAACGATCATTAAATGGATTTTATTGTTTGAGTACTCTGTATAAATTGCAATTTTTTCCGGCATTGAATAATAATGCATTGGACAGCAATTTAGTTCATATAAATTATAATGAACCATTTGTACTTTCTTATTGTTTATTTCATTTGCTTTGCTTTTAGTGTTTTACATCTCTGATAATTGTTTTCATATCAATTTTTTTGATTATCATTATTATTGTTGTTGCTGTTACTGCTATTATTAATGTTACTACTATTACTCTTACTTATCAATATCCGTTTGTTTATATCTATAGGTATTTTTGTATATCTGGTCTGTGTAATTAAAATGTACTTACACAAAAATTATGAAAATTTCTCTTAAATGAAATATCTAAATGTTGTATAGACAATAATAAGTTTTTGTTTGTGTTGCCAGTAAAAATACCTATTCGTCAAAGGTCTTATAGCTGAAGGTATTCAACTCCATCATTAAATAAGCTTCTCACCCTGTACAAAATATATAGTAATTCTATGGTAAATCATGGGGCTTTGTTTTTGGAGTGCACTGTATGTTAAAAAAACTGAGGGTTAGTGAAGGGAGTTTCAAGGGCGGTGGAATGGCTGGATCTGGGCGAAGCTGTCAGGGATTTAGGGCCCAGCTGTCAGGGGGCCATGGTAAACATCTGTAGGGGGATATTGAAACATGGTGAGGCTTAGGTGGATGGACTTTGGCCCATCTGTAGGAGAACAATGGACCACCTATTGGGGAAAAAGTGGGGGAAACCACCCCTGCTTTCACAATGAAGCCATATTTGATGAGCAAATAAATTGCACTTAAGTAATTGAAATTTTCTTTTATCACATCAATCCCTGTGCCCCAGCTAGTTGCCTTTAAAAGTTCTTTAACATTACCCATCAATCCTCCCCTCTCTATATCATTAATACTAAAATCGTCACTGACTAATGATTGGAAGGCAACCATCCTAACCACCTGTCTACATGGATTAATTTGTATTTATTTATTTAAAATAGTAAATTATCATAACTTTATTATTTTTTTAGAACATCTATTTGCATTTAGTGTGTTACATACAGTTTTTTTTTTTAATGATGTTATTGCTTGGTTTTTATTTTGTTTTATGTGAGCTGAGGATAATATTTGATTTCTAAATGTATGAATTTAAATTTTCAAACTTGTATATTTTAAATTATTATTTTGGGTTTAAAATTATATTTATTTTTCTTATGAACTAATTTTACTATTTACGCTGTATGTACTTTTTTTATCTCTTGCATTTTTTCCTAAAAATATGTAACGCAATCTTTTATTTAAATCTACTTAGTCTTTATTTTCAATCAAATACATACCTGTAAAAATTGTGTAGGCCTGTATGAAATAAATTAATTTCAGAACAAATTTTATTTGAAAATGATTATATTTATTGCTGCCATATTTTTCTATATAAATATACAATTTAACATTATGAACCTTTCAGATAATTTACATATATTAGCATACATTTGCATATTTATGCAGGTAAAGGAAAATCTATTGCACAAAGTGGAAGCAAATACTTTTATCAGATACATGATGGTGTAAAATTATAATCATTAATATTACTTTAAATTATGTCATTCAAAATAGTATTTAAAATTAAAATAATTGCTATGATGTCAATTCTTCTCATGGAAAGAATTTTAAAAAGGTTAGAAAATGAAATAATTACATAACTCTCAAAAAGTAAAAGTACAAAAATATGAGGTACATAGTGACGAATATTGTCGTCGTTGGTATGATTCCTATTGCTTGATAGAGGTTTTGCGGTTTCTTACGGCATTCGACTTTCGGAGGTTCCGGTTGGATCTTCTCCATTACTTCTTCAACTTTAGTTTCATCCAACTTCTTTTTGGCGGAAACTTTCCACTTCGCTGTCTGCACTTTCACATCAAATCTTCTCTTTCTCGTCGCAAACAAACTCATGGTCGCCTGAAAAAATGTTGCAAAAGATAGCATGATTGTTACAAGATTTCTTTTTAGTTTTTCTATCCACCTCTAACCCACCACCACCATTAAATAGTATTTAAAATTAAAGAGTTGTATAATGTTAATTCATTAAAAAAAATTCAGGTATCTTGATCCCCACTTCCCCTGTTTATATATTCGTCATAGAGTTGTATTCACATTAACAGTATATACAAGTACAAATCCAGTATACTGTACTTTAATTTACTAAAAAAAAATATATATATAACTCATGAAAGTAAGTGAAAACACAACTTATTTAGCATAACAACAATTATTAATTGTTTATTATACCAAAGAACTTAAATAGCAGAAGAATGAGCCGTTCCGCGTATTTACATTAAAATTGATGGAACACCCGCCCCCCGCGGGTGGGGTAAAATTTTACCATTTTACTGAGTGGAGAAACTACAGGAAACAAACGAACCAGAGCGGCGCCTTCATAATTGCTATATAGCGCCGCCGCGCGGATGGGGTAAATTGCTCTCCGTGTACCCACAATGCCTTTCAAACGGATGTTCCACTATATTGGGAAGCTGCTCTATCTTCTGTTATTTATTATCTTTGATTATATTTATTATACTTACTCTGGCGGCCAGTTGGTCAATCTCATCCTGGAGTGATGCCGGTGGGTCCAGTTCCTTCGCTTGGAGTATATACGATATTGCCTGTACACGAAATGTGACGAGAAAGTAAATATATTTGGCTAACCATATAACATTACATTTAAAACAGAAAGACAACTAAGAGACGTCCTATCGACAATACCTGCGATTAGCCCATATATGGGCATGATAGGAAATATTTTCTATATATAGATGCAATCATTCCCAAATATATGGGAACTTTACACGTCGTACCTGCATCATATTATTGACGGCAATGGCGGAGTCTGCAGCTTTTATCAAATACTCCAACGCTTTACTCGTATTGTTTGCTTTGCGCCAGTGCGTGATTAGTTGTGGAAAGACAGACTGCAATGTATGTACATCGTATACAACCGTTCTGTAAATTTGATGAAAGAGAATAAACTAGTTATTTTTTCAGATTTTCGCAGTAGGAATCATCTGATTATGATTTCTTTTAGTTCATTTAAGCAGTATATAACTATGCTTACTTGTCAACATCATTTGCTGCTGCCTTTTTCTTAAATATTCCCGCTTTTCCTATAAAAAAAAAAGGGGGGGGGGAAGAAGAAAATAAACAGTTAAAGATCTTACTGACTTCAATAATTTCATTTAGACCATTAGGAGTTTGCCAGTAACGTGGTGTTACGGTAATCTTTCAATAAAACCGACTACCGTAATCATTATCATCAACAACATAAAGAACATCAACGATGTCAATAATGTCAAATATATTTGACATTATTGACATCAACAATGTCAATAATGTCAAATATATTGTAACTTTAGTAACGGTATTAACAACATCGTTATCATCCTCAACATCATCATCAAAACTCAAAGGTCATAATTAAAGATCACCAAGAACGTCAACATCAAGCTATCATTACATTCACCATCATCATAAATTTCATAATCACCATCTGTTTTATCAAAACTCTATCAATTTATAATTCTGACATACTTGTTGGGGTATTTGATTCAAAGTACTGGGATTCCAAGTAGCTTGCGTACGTCTCGTGTAGTTTCCTCCGCTGCTTGTCTATCAACAGTGAATATGCTGTTTCCTGCAGACTTTTCGACTCAAACCTCAGCATCATCGACTTGAAGACGAACACACCAGAAGACAGAAGATTACTTCCTTCAACTGTAATTTGTTGTTCTGTAAAAGACTGATGGCACACTGTTTCACCCAACTGGGATTTATCTTTCCCTTCATATTGGATTGCAATAGACTGTAAAAAAAAAAATTAATTAAACTGATACATATTTTTGATGTGAAAAAAATGTTATACTGATAAGGAAAAAGAGATACTGTACGAGGTTAATTATAGACCACTCCGCTAAGACTCACTCATTTCATAATGTTGCTGTTGTACTACAAAACTACTGTCTTTGTGTTTCATGCGTTTGTGTAACACTTGCATGTACTCAATATACATTGAATGAAGAATCTGCAATGCACTTAATCATTTTTCGTTCATTTTTATATTTATTACACTTTCATACTTCACAAGATCTTGTGGCACTTCCTTGACGTCTAAACATTGGCACAACAGTGGCTCCAGACTTTCCGGCTCCAGTCCTGTCAAGGTGACCGTGCACGTGTCTATACCTCGCATGATCTTCTGCGCAATACCTGCGCACTGATCGTCGTCTCTGATGAGACCAACTGTCATGATGACTATGCAGGAGCGAATGGCAAAGTTCGACAGAAGCTGCCACGAGTCTTTGTCTATCTCCTGAGCGTCATCGATGGTTACTACCGTAGATTCGTAATCTCCCTGTGTCTGAAATAATTGATGATAGCATTACTTTTTAATGCTTGGTGTAATTCATTTTATAATTTTATTTCTCTCCGAAAATTAGTTGATAGCCAACAAAAAAGGCAAGTACAGTACAGATAGGCAAATGCGCGATGCAGACAAAAATTATAACATAATACGATTTAATTTTATTTTATAGTATTTGTTTCAAACTTTAGCATTTCATTTTGATATCAAACCTAGAGCTAGATTTAATGTTTAGATTTAGTATACGTAAGGACGCAATATGGATAGCCGCTCTGATAGTGCTTGCACTCATGGTTGCCCTCAGTGTACTGTAATCCTCATTGCAATGTTTTTGTTGTATTGTAGCCTGGAAATTGAATTATATATAATAAGTAATATGGAATAAGGAGTACAATTAATTAGCCCTTTCAAAATAAAACATTAAAAGGTTATTCCATAAGGGGGGAATTTTAAAAAGGAAAATTGCAATGTATTGTATTATTCGTACAGGGTATGACCTGATACTTTAACAAGAGTCAGCAACCGCGTGCATACACATAGGCCTAGTTAAGCGCTGGATCACAACCAATCAGATGATTAGGCACTTTAAGATGAATGTGCCCAACATGTGAATGCTTGAAGGAGTATATTAGTAGTTCCACTGAGAGTCTTACCTCTACAACGATCCTCCCTAGCAACCGGTGCATGGCTTTGGTTCGATCCGAGGTGTTCATGTTGGCAACAGTTTCATCGCAGGGAAGCTAAAGACGAAAAAAAAGAGAGAGAGAGAGAGCACGTGAGATACATTTCTGTACGAGATTACCAAGATCAAGAAACAGTGTAATAATAACTTGGTATTAAGACTGACGACCAGTTTTTTTCCAAAATAATCTATTTAAAATTAGTATATGACGTCAGAAAATGCCTTTACATGTTAACATTATTTAATTAATCCCGAATAAATTTCATATTGTTCTGAATAAAAAATGGACAGTTTACGAAAAGTAATTTGGAAATTTCTTATCTCCATTGTCTTAGAGCAAATGAAAACAATTATATCAAATATTTAAAGTAATTTTTCAGAGAAATTACAATGAGTCAAGACTTTCGACTTTGTGTTTAAGTTATTGGCAAAAACTATTATACATGTTTTTATACGATAATATTCCAATCTGCTACCTGAACGCCAATCAAGTTGTTTAATAAGCCCAGATATTTGATGACATCCGAGTCTTTAAACCTTTCCTGTAGAATTTTCTCTTTTTCTTCTTGTTCTTCTACCCTCCCGAGTTGGAGTATTTGCTTCACAATATGTGACGCTGTGTAGTAAGGGGTACAGGCATTGCTGACGGTCGCCGAAAAACTGATCACCCTGAAAAAATATTAATAATAACAATTATCGACAGCAACGACAACGACGGAGTGTCCGACAACGGCGACTTCTCTGACATTTTGTTCGTGAGAGATAATGGTGATGATGATAGTGGTGAATTAAAAAGAATAATTACTTCATGCATTAGGATTATTATCATTATAAACAACGTATTCCATCACGTAATAATATATTCATAAAAAATAATGAATTGGGATTTTTATTTAATTGTTTTTTTAAAAGACTCAGCCTGGGTAAATGTTTACGCCCAATTTTACTGTTTTAAATTCAGTTGTCTTGCGCTTTGTGACCGTTAAGAATTGTGCGTTAGCGTCCACGGTACAAGTATCAATATTCATACTATATTTGTCTACTAATAAAAATAAAAATTAATTATTTACCTGATTTATTTTATCGCCATGAATTACCCACTCACCTGATATTTGATTTCCTTGCTTCGTCTGCCAAAGTTTGTAATACCCTAGTTTTGCCAAATCCCGGTTTACCTCTAATTATTATGAAACGAGCACCCTCCGTACTGTTTAGTGTGTCGCTGATTGCACTTAAACATTCTTCAACTTCGCTGTTATAACCTAAATTAAAACAAAATTGATATGGGTATTTTTTAAGTAGGGGTTAAATAGAAAAGGTTCAACAGCACTGAGGTTTGGAGTATTATATCTGAGGCACTGGTGGAATGTTGACGAACATTATATTTTAAATGAAAATAAAGAGGCCCTACCACGACATGACAACATGTTCCAGCAAACATGGAGGGAAAGGGATGAGTGATTGCCTTGTATTACTTTTATCAGGGAGAGGACTGAATGGGATGACCTTGCCCACCCAGATATGAGATCCATTAATCAAGTTCAGTGGCCTATAAAATTAGGGGCTGATGGCAGGTTGCAATCGAAAGCGGAGGAGGAGTGATAGCTGTAGTAATGCGGTGATATTCCAGGGGCGGATTTAGGGGGGGGGGGGTGGCGGCCCGGCCCGGCCCCTCCCCCCATTTTGGGAGTTAAAAGAAAGAAAAATAAAAGAAAAAAAGAAAGAAAAAGAAAAAAATGATAGCCCACAACGCCTCAAATGTTATTTTCGGGCGTCTAGAACACAAAAATTTCGCGGGGGAATGCCCCTGGCCCCCCTAAGACATTGT